TCTATGAGTAGAATATGAATGTTTTAACACAATAACTAAGAAAATTACGTGAAGGCTATGTTAACCAGTTTGATGGAAGTGTTTCAGATTGTTTGTGAAAACCCCACACTGTACCCTAGAAGTGCATTAATGTACACAGTTACTATTCAATAAAAAAAAAAAGAAGGAAAAAAAAAAGACTGCCCATTAACCACAGCCAGGCCCTTACACAAATGCTCAGCACCAGTAAAACTAGTTTCTCCTTTGCTTCCTGACCACGTCAAGCACATTTTTCTCTGTTAACTAAATTATGAGGAGGAAGATAGAGATGAGTAAGTCATGATGCTACCATCAAGTTTAACAAATGTGCAGTTCTAGTTCTTTCCGTGATTCTTTTAAATCGTCAAAGACAGAAAATGCGAACAAAGCAGAGAAACATCTAAATGAGAAGGGCAGTTAAAATTAATGCTTATAGAACATGCAGCAAGTATTAGCACATAAGTAACCTACTAAATCCTCACAGTCCTAAAAAGAAACTCCTATTATCCCCATTTTGCCAGTGATAACACAGACATAGAGAGGTGTAAGTAATTTTCTCAAGCATATACGAGTGTAGAACTATTTGTATTAGAACAAAAACTCCAGCTCATACTCTTTTATAGCGTTCCATTTATCTGTAAGAACTTACAAATTCCAGAATTTTACCAAGTTCCAGAAGAAATCAGCTGTGTTAGGACAAGTATGTATGTGTGTATGTGTTTAGTTGTATGAAGGTTTTTTTTTTGATATTCAAAACTACAAATAATTTTAGTGTGTTTTAATATTTAAATAAACTATATAGATGTATTGGAATCTTCCTTTAGTAATTAACTCTTTGAAAATTTAAAAAATGATATATATGTAAAAGTGTTGATCACAGCACTCTTATATTAAACTTTAATCCTTTTCTAAATCAGAAATTCTTTCAAGTGGAAAAAAAATCACTTTCTTTCACTTAAAGCAATGAAGTGTCCACCATAAAGTAAAGAAATTTTCCTAAAGCTAAATACAGTAGCCCCCTTTTATCTGAGGTTTTACTTTCTACAGCTTCAATTACCAGCAGTTGACCAAGGTTTGAAAATATTAAATAAAAAGTTCCAGAAATAAATAATTCAGGCCAAGCATGGTGTCTGACACCTGTAATCCCAGTACTTTGGGAGGCTGAGGTGGGAGAACTGCTTGAAGCCAGGAGTTCGAGACCAGCCTGGGCAACAGAGTGAAATCCTGTCTCTACAAAAATTAAAAAAAAAATTAGCTGAGCGTGCTGATATACACCAGTAATCTCAGCTATTTGGGTTACTGAGGCAGGAGTATCACTTGAACTCAAAAGTTTGAGGCTGCAATGAACTATGATCATGGCACTGTACTCCAGCCAGGGCAAAAGAATGAGACCCTGTATTTAAATATGGTCATGAGTTTTAAATCACACGCTGTTCTGAGTAGTACGATAAAATCTCATGCCAGCCTGCTCCATCTTTTCTTCTTTATAATTGAATATAATCCAATAAGATATTTGGAGTGAGAGCGCGAGCACATTCACATAACTATGTCTAAGAAAACATAGTACTTATGTGGTTCAGTACTACCTGTGGTTTCAGATGTCAGTGGGGGTCTTAGAATGCATCCCTCAAGGACAAGTGGGGACTACTACCTGTCTCCAGGCCTACAGACAAATCACTTTTATGTATCTGATATACTGGATAACTTCCAAAGTTAACATGCTTTGAATACAAACTAAGAGATAGCCTGTGAGGAAGGAAACTGGACAGCCAAGGTGAATGCCACTTATCCACTCATAAACTACCAGCTTCCCACTTACCGCTGTGCAGTCTGACCTAGTGTGTATTCTGTCTCCTGAGAAAAATGAAGAACCAGCAGCTTCTTCATTTATGTTCTGTTTTGCGGTTTCCTACTCGTTATCTTATTCTCTGTCCTCCAAGCCATATCTTTACTCAGCCACCCTTGTGAAATAGCTTTAAGCCTACCCAAGATGCCGCTGCGTGATGATTCAAAGAAAAACTTTCAGTAGAACTATTCTGTAGACACCCATGTCCTCATTGTTCCAGGACGCCAGAAGACCAATTATAGAGGACGTGAGGTTTCAAACTTATGGTTTTAAGATCTAAGAGTCAAAAGTATAGCACCTTTTAAAACATATGGTGTCTCTATGTTAGGGAAGCAGAGAGGGATGGGGAGAAGGAGATAAGAAAAATCCCTCAATATTATATTCACTAGATTTTGTAGACTGAATGATTTCGGTAACTAAAGAATTTGGTAATCACCATTATTGAGGGAAAACCTGGGAAACTAAAGGATGTGACGGTCAACAGAATGGGATGTCCTGTGACTTTCAGGAGCAAGCGTGTCTACAAGGGCACTTTCACAGCCCACTCACAGTTCACCTGACAAGCCATATAACTAATACTATGTAGACCAGTGTTGTAAATGATAACATCTTGAATTAGGTTTAGTTAATATTCAAGAAGTTCTAAAAACATGTTCAAAACAATGACAAGATTTCCATCAATTTTAAAGAAAAAGAGAAAGGATTCATTCTAAACAAGACTGAAATTGGAGCAAGTGAATGAACGGAGACGAGGGCTAAGCAATCTCAAGTGTGGCCTAGGCAGATGTGCTGGAACAGCTGGAGCCTCAGAGACAGGGCTCAGCTCTCTACAGCCTCAAGCCAGGGCACAGATATACTCCTGCCTGAAGGGCTGCTGGAACACATTTTCAGTTACTTCCAAACAGAGAGAATTAAAATATTCAAATATCATAAAGCACTTAGGAGCTGCCTGGGTGAAAGGTAGTATCACAAATCTAAAAGAAGCATAATTAAGATAAGAACCCCTGTGCCAAATTTCAAGTCCACCAATTCTCCTCTTCTTGCTTTGTGCCAGGATTCGAATTCATCAGATCGCTACCGATTCAGCTATTTCAACCAGCTGAAAGCCATTTTGTTGGTGAAGTTCTTGAACAAAGGCTACATTATTTTCTGCGCCAGCAAATATTATCCAAATAGGTTTCAGAACCAGCTGGAGAATGCAAATATTGTAAGTTTATAAAGAGAGAGAGAGAGAGAGAAAGCAAGCAAGAAAGCCGTGACATGGAAAGGAAATGTGGTAATAGTGGTCATGGCAAAAAAAAAAAAACAAAAAACCGAGGACTCCTCGTACCTCCTGTTGTAACACAGTCTGACCACTGACACGCAGGTTAGACAGACTAGAGCAGCGCGAGGCGCGTTTCCCCATCTGTTGCTAGATTGGGTTTTAGCTGCAGAGGAGGCAATTGAGAAAGAGGGACGTTATCTTGCAGAGAAGATAGCACAGCTGTTTTAAATATGGGTTTTCTGGTTTCTTTTTAGAAAAATGAAACAGGGCTAGACTACCCAAGCAGCTATTACAGAAGAAAGTGCAGTGCTTAGAGTACTCAGAAACATTAGGATAGAGGAATTCCTGAAATATATACTATAGCATACTGGCTCCAGGAGGTAGCCCCCTCAAATGGGTTTCTGTGGTCATTTTGAAGGCACTGAGAAGTCTTCAGAAAAAAAGAATAAAAGCCTGATTCACTTTGTGTACACTGGTACTTCCTCGACTGATTAGTCATTATTTAAAAAACATCTAAATATATCCCCCTAATCAGTGTTTTTCTGCCACACTGAGAGATGGGGAGCTGGTTTTAAAAGTGGAACGGTGGAGACTGTAATTAATAAGGAGATATTATTAAGCAGGCAGACAACATACACACCTCATGAAAATTTCACTAAGTTCAACTCATTTTGAAATACAATTTTCCCTCCATATCATTTGGCATTGCTGACAACCTCTAAATGGCTGAGGCACTAAGCTATCCCATAAAGACAGACAGTATTCCTGTGAATTAAATCCCATCGTCCTGTCACTTTGAACTTGACTCAGAACTGTGCTGTACATATGCAAACTGAAGGTTTTCATTGCATCATCCTTGGATGCAATGAAAAAATACAGGGACTCACTGCTCTAACCCTCTCTCTTCATAGACTACTGTGCAGGGGATTCTGAATTCAGGGGTCCATACTGCATCATGTTTAGAAACTAAAAACAGCTCTGCAGTCGACCTTTAGAACCATAAAAATCCGGCCAGCATTTTCCACATGTTCTAATTACTCCCTCACATCCCACCTGCCAGTATAGCTCACAAGACTCTGTCCTCTGAATGACGGTACAAGCTGCCGCCCAGATGTGATTTCTTCCTGCTTTCCACACGCAGAGTGATTCCCTGAGGACTTCTAACTTCAGCGTCTCTACCCTAAGTCCCCAAAAGGTACTTCTCAGCTTTCACCAAACATACTCTTCAAGGAAATGGGGGTCTCTATCAGTTACCATAAGCTCCTCTTGGCAGGATCGGAAAGCTCATCACTGAACTTGGCAGTGGTCAGAATTATAAGGAGTAAAAGATGAGAGAACAGGTGGTGCCATTCCGCCCGGGGATTATATGTTCCAAGTTTCCAGAAGTTAGAGGTGCTTCCTAACATAATTCTAAGGGTTACATCTGACAGCTTAGATATACAATTTGTAAAGCAACAGGGCTCATTTTAAAGATGGTAGACCTTTACAAATGGTCTTCCTAGACTAGAAATTCAGAATTAAAGGAAAGGCCAAATTTCACGTACCAAGGCTGCCGTCTGAATGACTTACCTCCACTTCTACCTTAGTGAAGGGCTGGCAGAAAGTAAGCACACAGAGCTGAATGCTGAGGGAAAAAAAGAGAAGGCCGTCTGTAAATGGTCACACAAATGCCAGCTATTATTACCCACAATCCTTTCTTTACAGAAACCTCCACATCCCACTTCATGCGTGTTTTGTGCTTATAAATAAATGCTACACTGCAGCTATTACACCTCTTGGACCTCTACAATTATTCTTGATATTCAAAAGTTAAATTACCAAGTGAATACTGAATACATATTTGTCAGCCAGAGCTGCACTTCAGCGATTATATCTCAGAGTTGAAGTTTCCCTAACAACACAGACTCCCAGGCCTAAGTCTCCAGAGAAATTACCGAACGTTACATTTCAAGGTACGAGAGTTTTACAGAAAAACTCCTGAGTAGAACTTTACATTTCTCAACTTTCTGATATTTAAAAAAAAAAAAAAAAAAATTGGACTTTTCCTCAGAGGCAAACATTTTATCAAAATTCTCCCAGTTTTCATTGTGGGGAAATCTGCAAAGTTCCCAATTTCATTGCAAAGTTACACGAAGGCTTTCTTTAAAGTGGTTAACCAACCTCTCAAAGATAATTTTTGTAACTGTTGTTACTACTTATAACAACAGTTCTAAGTTACTACTCTAGTAAATGCTTAGACCTCTTATCTGGATAAGATTTCTATGAGATTTTTAGTTTAGCCTCATTAGACAGTTGACCCAGAAATCAGGCAGAGTGTATTAGATTACATGTCTAAGAAAACAATCAACCAACATTTTTTTTGCTATTAAGAAATTCAGATATAATTTATCTGTAAAAATTACCTGAAGGGGCTAACTTGAGGAAGTTAGGAATTTAAATTTAGAAGTTTAAGAATTTAGTTAAAAGAAGAAATGATAATTATACACTCTTAATGTGTCAGTTCTCAAACCTTCCATCTGAAAGGGAAAAAAACATTTCACTATATATAAACTCCAAGTCAATCCAGGTTATCCACCAGAAAGTAAATTGTTTTTAAATTATTCAAATGGAGGTATGGAATTCAATTATTTGGATAGATACAAATTCTATGTTGAAAATTTTGAATGGAAGGAAGGAAGGGAGGGAGGGAGGGAAAGAAGGAAGGAAGGAAGAACAGAACGAACAGAAAAGAAAAGAAAAGAAAAGACCACACAAAAGATCTCATTAAACCTATCTTGTGTTTACTACAGACAACCAATACTTCTTTGACTCATACAACATAGCTTTTCATAGCTGCCCTTCTCACAGGTTATTCCTTGAGTCTTCTCTACCTTAGGATGATCTACCTTGGTATAAAATCTCCTCCTTACATCTGTGTCTAGAATAGCCTCAGAGCAAAGCAATTGAGAACATTGATCTAGAAGGAATACACACAGTGCTAACAATAACATTAAGAAGATTAGAAGACAAAGGTGAAAATAAGATTTTTTACAAGGTAAGTGCCATGTAGCATTTGGACAAGACAAAGGTGTGAGTTTTAAAGATTTTGTGTTTGTTTAAAAAGCCCTGGAAAATCTTTTAAAATACTTTTTCTTCCTTTCTGTTCAGAATTCTCGCTCCTACTTTTTCTCCTCTTTCTACACTTCCCAGCTTAGAAGCCTAGATTATCTAGACCCTTTTACTGCCCCCTTCCAAAAAAAGCCTTCTCCGATTTGATTTCCACATCAACCTGGACTGTTTCACAGGCAAAAAAAAAAAGTCATACAGATTGTATCATGAACCCCAAGTCACAACCTCCATGCAAAACTCAACCTGTAAAGGCCCAAAGGTTAACAAACCTCAGGAGATATAAAGAAGCTACTCATCCAATTTTAAGGCATTTCTTTTTCTAAAGTGCTCTCATATTAGTTTCTTCTAATTTTCCCTCCTATAGGAGCTGAAAACCAGGAATTCCCGATCATTAGTGGCATGAGATTATATTCTAGACAAGTAAATAAAACGATGTTTCTAAAAAGTTAAAGATAATCCACAGTCTAGATACCTTTTACAATTCATTTTATTTTTGGTGTTATTTGCTTATCTTTAACTACCAAGGACTGTAACAAGAGTACAGATGTGGGTGGCACCTGTGGCTCAAAGGAGAAGGGTGCTGGCCCCGTATACCAGAGGTAGCGGGTTCAAACCCAGCCCCGGCCAAAAACTGCAAAAAAAAAAAAAGAGTACAGATGTTTCACATATGTTAATGTTTATTCCACGGGTTCATCAGTTACCCACTCCAAGTTAAATTTATTAATTCAAAGAATTTTACAAAAATGTAGAAATTCTTATAATTATTATAATATTGATAAGAAATACAAGTAATTGTGTAGTATTAAAAAATCTGATTTTCAAAAGTTGGTTGGATTATATAAAAGGTATCTGAAGAGGCCCACAATGTCCTCAAGCATAAATTATGATTTCCTATTAAATATTTTCAAGTGTCACGTATTTATAAGTCAACAACATTATTTGAATTCTGGGCATCACAGTATCAAAAGTGGGCAAGCCCCTGGGGAAGGTCCTCCAATCTAGGTGTTTCATATGGTTCTCACCAAAATTTAAACAGGCTCAGACTTATCTGGGGAGAAATAAATAAAATATCTTGAGAGAAAGCAAGTTTCTCTACGGAGTGCTCTTTTTAAAGGCCTATTTCACTTCAGCTTGCTAAACAGTGAAACCGTATTCCTCTCCTCTCTTAAAGGCTTATAGAAACTGCTGATCCTAGTGCTTTCAAAATCCAGAACGGGAACTGAAATCTTGGTTGACTATTTTCTCAGCTCACATCAGACACAGCCCAGCTATTTCAGGGCATATGACTAACTTGTTCTTAACTGCTTAAATCAGTGTAGCAATAAGATGGAGACACTAGATAATGCTAAATCTGCCCTCTAAATGAAATCACAAAATAAAAGCTAAGTATGATGCAAACAAGTTCACTTAAAAACTGGCAGACAAACACTTGAGACTCATCTCAAGATGACAGATGACGAGAATTCTGCACATAGGAGACACCAGCGGTTAGGGGCTAGGTAGTGATTTTTTTTTATTACAAGATTTAAGACTGATCAGAAATCTTTACTTTTGTATAAACAAGGCTTTCTTTTAGAAGAATTAATGGTATTTCTTTTTCTAAA